ATCATTGATTTTAGCATGTTTCATTCTTCTTGGATTACTAGCGCAACAGTAAATCCAACATTTGATTCCAGGCTTATCACTGATTTTAGCATGTTTCATTCTTCTTGGATTTACTAGCGCAACAGTAAATCCAACATTTGATTTCCAGGCATTATCATTGATTTTAGCATGTTTCATTCTTCTTGGATTTACTAGCGCAACAGTAAATCCAACATTTGATTTCCAGGCTTTATCATTGATTTTAGCATGTTTCATTCTTCTTGGATTTACTAGCGCAACAGTAAATCCAACATTTGATTTCCAGGCTTTATCATTGATTTTAGCATGTTTCATTCTTCTTGGATTTACTAGCGCAACAGTAAATCCAACATTTGATTTCCAGGCTTTATCATTGATTTTAGCATGTTTCATTCTTCTTGGATTTACTAGCGCAACAGTAAATCCAACATTTGATTTCCAGGCTTTATCATTGATTTTAGCATGTTTCATTCTTCTTGGATTTACTAGCGCAACAGTAAATCCAACATTTGATTTCCAGGCTTTATCACTGATTTTAGCATGTTTCATTCTTCTTGGATTTACTAGCGCAACAGTAAATCCAACATTTGATTTCCAGGCTTTATCATTGATTTTAGCATGTTTCATTCTTCTTGGATTTACTAGCGCAACAGTAAATCCAACATTTGATTTCCAGGCTTTATCACTGATTTTAGCATGTTTCATTCTTCTTGGATTTACTAGCGCAACAGTAAATCCAACATTTGATTTCCAGGCTTTATCATTGATTTTAGCATGTTTCATTCTTCTTGGATTTACTAGTAAATCCAACATTCGTTAGAGTCTCTTTTCCAAAATGAATAACCTCAACATCGTCAATGATACCTACCCCCAGACAGATACAACGAACAACAAACAAGATGCACACGAATACAAAATATTCAAATATGTTACAGTAAAGTATTCGGAAATGTTACAATACCTCAAATTCGGAGATGCTACCTTATAATATCGAGTCGGTATCTGCTTCGCTATCCGACAAATACCGGTACGATTGCAACCGATTTATGAACGGTCTCTTCTTACCGAGCGGGCAATAAAGAATGGAATATAATTAACTTTATACTAATGCCAATATCATCTATTCGTCTACCGGCTAAAGGCAAGCTTATGTTACATTGTCTGTTTGTGTCTGTGTTTTTGTGTGTCTGTATGTATGCGTGTGTATGTGTGTGTGTGTGTGTGTGCGTGCGTGTGTGTGTCAGTCTTCGTTGTGGTGCACTTGTCTAATTTAAATCCCTGCATTTGCCAATGCTATTGAATATTTTGCACTGTGAGGAGTTCCTCTCTCTCTCTCTCTCTCTTCCTTCTCTCTCTTTTTCTTCCTTCTCTCTCTTCCTTCTCTCTCTCTCTCTCTCTTTCTATTATCTCTCTCTCCTTTCTTTATATGTTTATTTTCTGTCTTTATTTTTCTCCTTCTCTCTTTCTTATTTCTAACTTATCTTCCCAGTGTTTTGGCATTTAACAGTTTAATTATTCTACATGCCATGACCTCATGTCACTTCCCGTCTGGTACGTATACTAGCAGCTGCTTGCATGCAATGTATATGCATCTGGATGGATGAACGAACGAATGAATGAATGAATGAACGAACGAACGAACAAGCGAACGAACGAACGAACGAACGAACGAACGAATGAATGAATGAATGAATGTATAAACAAGCGAAAGAATGTATGCTATATTGTTCTTCAAAATGTTGTAATGCAGAAAATTGTATATAAACATTTGATGCTTCCCTGTTTGTTTGTTCCTATAATAATTTATATAAACATATATTTGTATCTATTTGTAGATTGCGTTACATACAAATTTGTATTTCACTTTTGTACACTTTTGTATTTACAAAACTTAAAAGAAATTGTTCGGAGGAGAATGTGTCAGCTACATACATCTGCAGTAGGCAAGCAATATCTCTATCACCTTTCAAATTTACTCAATTAAATTAAATGGCTGGTTTGTTTAAACACACACACGTGCGTACACACACACACACGTGCATACACACACACACACATACATACATACGTACACACACACACACACATACGTATAAAGTTATAGAAAGTTTATTGGGAAAAATTCCGCGAATTAATTCTTACTATTGCCCTATCAATCTCTATTGCATATGCATCTGACGTCTGCCGTTCGCTGATGTGTATGTATGTATGTGTGTGTGTGTGTGTGTATTTGTTTGTGTAGGTACATCTGTATATGTGTGTGTGTGTGTGTATGTGTGTATGTGTGTGTGTGTTTCTTTGATGTATTAATTTTATAGTGTGGTAAAAAATGGTCACCATCGTTTCCATAACCGGTACCATCTGCAACATTTCTATCATCATCGTCATCATCGCCGTCTTCATCATCATCATCATTGTCATCACCATCATCATCGTCATCATCATCAGCAGCAGCAGCAGTAACGACATCAGCCTCATCTTCATCTTTCAACAAAACTCAAAGTGGCTTAAACTGTGCGTCAAAAAATTTTCCTCAATAATTTAGCAACGCTGATGTGAGGGAAGCAAGTTATGAAGGGAAAAATGAATAGTGGGTTGACGAATGAATGAACGAACGAACGAACGAACGAACGAACGAACGAACAAACGAACGAACGAACGAATGAATTACGGAAACGTTGTTGATGATCTGCTGAACATGGAAATTACTATAGAGTTATATTACTCTTAAAAAAAATTTAATAAACGAACAAATGTCAAGGTTGAAGTAGACAGAGCTTTCGTACGAATTTTATTAAAAATATAAAATGAAATAATTATGTAATAATAATAATATATATTATAACTATAATTACAACGACATAATTAATTAAAAACTTTCCAAAAACTTCAAACAGTTGAATCTTATAGGATAGAAGAAAGGTTATTTAATGGTTTCTTAATGAAAATTTAGGCCAGCTGATGTTTATGTAGATAATTCTTTCCAGACCAATATCACACCAAATCGATGCTAACTGTATTCTTATTTCTTTCCGATTTTTTAAATTATCCTCTTCTTATATTTCTTCTATTTATATTTCTTTTTACTTCCTCTCTGACTTTTCTATAATTTTCTCTGTATTTCTAGCTATCTCAGTCTATATATTTTCTATCTAATTTTTGTTATATTCTATTTATTTATTTTTCTCTCTCTCTCTCTCTCTCTTTCTTTATTTCTCTTTTTCTCTTTCTCTCTTTTTCTCTCTCTCTTTTTTTCTCTCCCTCTTTTTCTCTTTCTTTCTCTCTCTTTCGTATTTTAAATCATCATTTAGTTTCAAAAATCTAGAGAGCAGGCCAGTCAGCTTACTTAAGTACCTACCTAGGTACGTATGAATAGTTTATAAGATAAAATTTTTGGTTTCATTATCCGTGAGAGTAAATATAGTAAGAGAAAGAGAGAGAGGAGAATTTTTCTTTAAACTATAGAAATTGGTTTGATGATTGACGCCTTTGATGGGTATCTACCATGTGACTGTCTGTGTGTTTGTCTGTGTGTGTAAGTGTCTGTGTGCGTGTGTGTGTGTGTGTGTGTGTGTGTCCTTCTCTCTTTCATTTA